ACCTAGCCGGGTAATGAAACATTTGCAAGAAAACAGCCAAGCTCAGAGAACCCCAAGGACTGAACTCCACAGTTCAGCCCTGAGGTACGTATACTCACCTCTATTGGAAAGACTATTTGCATAATACACTTAAGTCATAGTTTGCTTAAGCATGGTTTGTTGAATAAACCACAGTTGGCTGGGTACACACAGCATGTAAAGTAAAAACAAATCACGTTAAGGCTTAGTGTGATGTTTGAACCAGTTAAAAAAAGAACAGCAGCAGCCCCAATTTAGATTATTTAAAATTTATGGAAGGTAAATTATCATTGATTAGTGATTGCGGTGGCTTTGCATAATATATCAGAGCCAGTGTACATACAAATACCATTTTCTGGAAGACAGCAGTTACCAATGGGGAATGAGATTCTGACATAATAGGCCCTTGATGTGATCTGTTCTTGCATTTTTCTGACAAGCAAATATTCAACAGGTGATGCTATTCTCAGCATGCCTGGGTGGGGAAAAAAGGCTTGCAGGCAGGTTTCCATGCAGGTATTCAAAACATAGCGGAAAGATTCCATGAGAAAAAACAAACAAACTGGAAATGAATCAGATAATCACATCCCCCTAGTTTTATGTAAGCATCCTTTCCAGTTCAAAGAAAGCAGCTGTACTACCGCATGCTATATAAGGCTTTTTCTTCCTTTCAATCATCCCATTTAAGTGTGCATAGATAATGGTGAACCTGGATGGGGAGAATAGGAGCTATCCCCCAATAGATCTACATGGCCCCAGTGGGTTGGCAACAGGGTGTATTCTCATACTGTGGGGAGCTTGTAGTCAAGGGTCTTGCTGTACTACCATTCTCCCAAACTGTCTTAAAGGAGGAAATAGGATGGAGAGGGGATACCAAGGTGGGGACAGCTGGCACATCTCATACTGTGTCCGTGAAACATAGGATAGTATACTGGGGAAAAGGCTGTCAAAGAATTCATCCTGTTGGAAGTGGGGGCCTCAGACCAACTCCTGGCTCAGTGCAGGACCTACTAAAACATTTTGGACAGATGTCTATATTCCATTCATTTGTCTTCACCTCAGGACCTCAGTTAGTCTTGCCTAGAGTCCCCCATGGTATGCCTATTTTGGCCCTGATCTGCACTTTGCAATTAACAGAACTTATTCTATAGAAAACTAGTGGAATTGACTTCTGGTGCCGGGGGCCGCTTGGAAAGATAATTTAAGGAGCAGAACCAGAGTTCTGTTCCGCATGATTTCAAGCCCCAGAGATGTGATTTTCCTTGCCACATGGGACTAAGCGCATGAGTTGTACCATTTAGAATCTCAACTGTCTGTATAAGGATGTGACTCAGAATAATTTGAGGAAAAAATAGAACACAAGCGAATAATCAGACTGCCAATTGAGAAAGCTCAGACAAGCTGCCAAAAGTGCATTTATGTGGAGGCTTATAGATGGAAATAACTCAGAGGAGAATAAAGGGCTCTTTGCAATACCACAGAATTGGGACATAGCTTTCTTTGCTCTGGGTTACAGAGAGAGTTGCCAGATGTGGCTCATTTTAATGGCTGCTGTCCCATGTTATTCCAGCACATCATAACCTTGTAGGCTAAAATGGGAGCCCCTTCAAAATGTTGCAATTCCAAGAAGGCTATGGGACAGCTTTGATTACTTTTAAGGAAAAAAAAACAGTGCTATTGCAGATCCCAAGCTTCTTAAACATAAACATGAAAATGAGGACTCCATGTTACATTTAGTTTAAAAAAAATTTCAGTGTTTACATCTGTAAATGTTATGGATTGATTCCAATTTTTAATTCAAATATTCTAATTTTTAGGATTACATTCTTCCATAAGCAGTTTACGTGTCATATAAAATGGTGTTTATTGTAATTACACTGTACTGTATAGAAATCTTTCTTCAGGAAGTTAGCAGTAATAGCTTTGGGGGGAGGGAAGGAAGCATTCAGCTGAGTAGGCTTCTGTCTTGCTCATCCCG